TGGTAGAGGACGGGGCCGTTTTCCAGGGGCTGTTCCCGGTGGGGACAGATTTCCTGGGCCAGCGGGACCAGGAGGGCCACCCCCACCTTTTCCAGGTAAAAATTTTCTTAACATTACCATGGATAAAACATGTCTACCTAATGCCTCTTTTCCTTTTCTCTCTTTCAAGTAATGCATTATTAATGTGACTTACTCTCCTTGTTATGCTATTTTTGGAATCCAGGAAATTTGATCAAGCATCTTGTTAAAGGAACTCGGCCTTTGTTCCTGGAAACTAGGATTCCATGGCATATGGGGCACAGCATAGAGGAAATACCCATTTTTGGCCTAAAAGGTCTTTATTTTTCTCCAAACTTGCTTGACTTATATATAGAATATTTACATCCGTCTTATTTTCTTACCTCTTAAAAAATCCTTTCAAGACCAATTTTCCTTGTTTCACTTTCTAGCTTGGCATCAGAGTAGAATATAAGGTGGGTGATTTCACTGTAAGAAGTGTATATACACTGAAAGATGGAAAATATCTCTAAACATTGTAATCTTAATTAAAGTTTTATTTTAATAATTTTTAAGTATAAATGGAGCTAATTAAATTTGTAAAGATATGCTTCACTTGTGTAGTTGTTAGTGTAGCATTTATCATATGGGCTTCATTTAAAGAGAAAGAATCTTGGTCTTTGGGTTATACTTTAAGAGAATAATCTTGGTATAAGTGTTAAAACATCTTAATGGAGTGTTTTCTCTCTTTCTCTCCTTTATAGCTGGACAGACTCCACCACGCCCACCATTAGGTCCTCCAGGCCCACCGGGTCCACCAGGTCCTCCACCTCCTGGTCAGGTTCTGCCTCCTCCACTAGCTGGGCCTCCTAACCGAGGAGATCGCCCTCCACCACCAGTTCTTTTTCCTGGACAACCTTTTGGGCAGCCTCCATTGGGTCCGCTTCCTCCTGGTCCACCACCTCCAGTTCCAGGCTACGGCCCCCCTCCTGGCCCACCACCTCCACAACAGGGACCACCTCCACCTCCTGGCCCCTTTCCACCTCGCCCACCTGGCCCTCTTGGGCCACCCCTTACACTTGCTCCTCCTCCGCATCTTCCTGGACCACCTCCAGGTGCCCCACCACCAGCTCCACATGTGAACCCAGCTTTCTTTCCTCCACCAACTAACAGCGGCATGCCTACATCAGATAGCCGGGGTCCACCACCAACAGACCCATATGGCCGACCTCCACCATATGATAGGGGTGACTATGGACCACCTGGAAGGTAAGTTAATATATATCTATGAAAGTAGATGTAGTATTTTTGAATGGTATAGCTCTATCACTAAGATATCATAGAGGCCTTTTCACTAGATACTTAACTTTTTGAGTATTTACTCTTCCAGTTGAAAGCGATAGCATATTACCTTGAAACTACTGGGCAGGGTCAGGAATAATCCTAGGTCTGACAGTTATATAGCCATGTGACTTAGAAAAAGTCTCTAAATCCCAGGAGCTCATTTACATTTTTTAAATTAAAAGAGATTAATAAAGATAATGTTAGATAGCAAATGATATCCTTAGGCAGCCACTACTAGCAATGAATGAGGGTTCCAGTTTGTCTACATACTCTTCATGATTCGTTTTCTTTTTCTGATGATAACCTTTCTAGTGGGAGTGAGTGAGCAATCCTGGTGTGGAGCTATAGGATAAATCAGTCTATCCACTACCATTAAAGGAGCTGTGGTAGTGTAGTGTATTATAAGTGGGGGCTACTAACCACACACAAAAAATCAGAGGTTCAAATCTACCAGCCACTCCTCAGGGAAGAGAGATGCTTTCTGCTTCCATAAAATCTACAGCCTTGGTAACCCTATGACTCTGTGACACATAAGCACTGCCATTTTGTCAATTCCAACTCAGCATCCTTGCGTATGGTTTGTGAGGCTATAAATCTGTGAGCAAAAAGAAAGCCTCATCTTTCTCGTAGCTGGTGGTTGTGAACTCTAAAATTATACTTGGCTAGACAGAATTTATGAAAAATGGCTTTGTGGGAATTAAAATAATACAGATCCTTAGTGAAAAACTGGGTGGGAATCACTCAGCCTCCTAAAGATTTAAAACTGTCCCTACTCAAATCATAATTTAAGAAACTGGTTATCATTTCTTATGAACTATTTTGAATTTGTAAACAACCCATTTGTTTCCTTTGAGTTTACCGTTTTATTTTTGTATTTATCTGTCATTATTAAACTGCTGAATTCCATACAACTTTCAACAACTGTATATCAATATCAAGTGTTCACCTTTAGTATATAAGGAGTATGTTTTTATAAATGTAGTTTGAAAATTTCTTGGTTCTCAAAACATGATAGAGAATTTCTACAATTCCATGTTTTCATTAAATTTTGTGTGTGTGTTTTTAAGTGAAAATTGGAGAACAGTAATTTTTTAAAGTTTTTATTGTGACTTATGTGATAGTTTTCATGGGAGAACATTAGCTTTACATTCATCCTATCTTATCTCGTTTCATTGCAATGATTACAGTCCCCTCCATGCATCATCAAACAAGCAAAGGGTACACCCCGCAAGCATGTCCTCTGGCTGTCAGCGCACAGCCCCTCTCCCTCCCTGAGTCCAGAGTCCCCAGCTGCTCTCTCTGACTACTTCTCTGAGTAGGGTCCCACACTCTGTTCTTCTCTCTTGATGGCCCCAAGGACCTTCACTCCTGGACTGCAAAATCAGCCACTCCCTCCTTTTGTTACAAAATGTCTACCTTTACATTTCCAACCCTCACAGTCAGTCCTGATAGCAATTATTCACTGTTGAAACACAAGAGTCTTATCCCCATCTCCTTTCATCAGCCCCATATAGACAGATTGGAAAGTAGAGATTCTTCCTTCCCCTGCACCCACTAGAACTAGGCTCCCTCTTGAAAGCTTGTAAGCCAGTAACTTCTTACCTTTGTAGGCCTCCCACCATTTTGGGTAGACAGTATCTTAAGTTGCTTATTCTTGTCCACCCTGTGTACCGTGGGGGGGTGGGAATGATCCTCACTGTAAAGATTTGTTTCCTCTTTTGAGCTACTACATCCATAAGTATATGTCAAGTTCATCAAATTGTAGCAGAGTGCTCTTTTTTTCCTCCTCTTAATTCGTCTAGTCAAGTTCTGATCATCCAGCCATTGAAGCCAGGTCAAGTGGGTACTATCTGCAAGTATGAATGTTCTTGTGCATCTCCCCTCACTTCATATCAGCTGGATGCTATCAGCTGGATGCTTCACTCTCCCCTCTAGTCCTCTCTGGCCATGTCATTGTCTCTGGTCCCAGAAGTCCCCAGGTCTTGTCATACTGCTGGCCAACCAGGTCTCAACCTGGGTTCACAGGAGTCTATTGAATGTAGTAGTTCTTAGCTCACAACTTCATTGCTGTTTTCCCCCCACTAGTTCTGGTGTGGCACTGTGGGCTAATGTGCCAGACTGCAAAGGCTTTTGAACTGCAAGGTCAGTGGTTCAAGCTCACCAGCTTCTCCTCAGAAACCCTATACAGGGTCGCTATGGGTTGGAACAGACTCAACAGCACTTAACAACAGTGTGGTCACTAGCCAGACCACGTGCCTGCTCATGTATTCCCTTGAGTCTTACTTAGTCTTCCCTCCTGGACAAACAACTTGCTTGTGATTGTAGTAGTCAGTTGGACAGACTTTATTGTTTGTTTGATTTTTTGCCCTCTTCCGTTCAAGAAGAATCTTCTCTTCTAGCTACACCAGGGAGGTCTGCTTGTCCTTTCAGGTGAAAATGTCCCATCACATGAGGTTGTTTTGAGGGGGATAGGATTAACACAAGTCGACAATTTAGTTGAAACCACACATTTAAATTTGTTCAGGAATGATTCAGAAATTATTTAGGTAGTGTTTTGCAAATATGTAACAATAATGTAAAACATGCTTACAAACTGTTATTGAGGCATACTTGCCTCGAGCTACATCAGATACTTTATAACTTCTAAGAGGGCAAAAATTACATCTTTCTTTTGTAATATACATGTAGTCACATGTTGTCAGTTTTTATAAAATGCTGTAATTTTTTTTTCAACAAATATTTATAGTTTTATATTAACTTTTTTTATGCTAGAGTCTCTAAGGGTTCAGTGGCATACTGAGGTCTTTTTCCTCGTGAAGTTTACTTTCTGTTAATCATTTATTTTCCTTTCATCCCCCTACTATAAGTTGAGCCTTATGGATCCAGGCATAAGTAAGGGCAAAGTTTCTACTTTTGTTGTATGTTTAGTGCTGTTGAGTGGGTTTTGACTCATAGTGACACACTGACCAGTCTTGGCCAACCTGTTATGCTTGAGCCCATTGCTGCTGCCACTGTGACTATTTCTTGCAGTCATATCTCATACATGCCTCTGTCACACATTATACATACACTCATCCTCATACATCACACACTATCTTCAAAAAAAAATTTTTTTTAATTTAATGCTAAAAAGTATTTTATTATAGTTATGTAAATTTATTATTTTTGTCCTCCAGAAATATGAGGTTTCTAATCTGTTACTTTTTTTGAGCTGAAATAGAAGTTTAAGAAAGTTTTGTTTAGACTTATTCCATCTGTATGAAAAAATAGAATGCTTCAATCTGGAAAAATAACCACTGTCTCTAAGGCACTTATCAAAAAACAGCTAGTATGAATTGTTTCACACTGTTAAGAGAATCTGTTGAGTATAATTTAGGGTTTATTGTGACTTTATAGGGAAATGGATACTGCAAGAACGCCATTGAGTGAAGCTGAGTTTGAAGAAATCATGAATAGAAATAGGGCAATCTCAAGCAGTGCCATTTCAAGAGCTGTGTCTGATGCCAGTGCTGGTTCGTATATTTTTCCCTAAATTGTTTTTATTATTTTGACCTAAACCTTTAAGTGCAGTCTTGAAGGTGAGTTATTTACCTTTTCATTGCTATCTAGTTGATTCTGACTCAGAGTGACCCTGTAAAACAGAATAGAACTGTTCCATAAATTTCCAAGATTGTAAATATTCGCAATCGCAGAAGCAGACTGCCTCATATTTCTACTGTTTGGTTAGCAGCCCAATGCTCATCCTGTTGTGCTACTAGGGTTCCTCATTTACACACAGCAGGTCTCTTTAATGTTCCAAATCATCTTCATTGTTTCCTCGCAGGTCCCCATGTTTGCAGAGTAGACCTGTAGCCTTTTCAAGGCCGACACCACCAACTTTTTGATTATTAGGCCAGTACTTAGCCATTTGTGCTATCCAATACATTGCTTGTAATTTAGTTAAAACACATTGAAGTAAGCTATATGTATGACACAATGAGGTAAAAAAAGAAACCCACTAATTTCATATTGTTAGGTTTAGGAGTCCTGGTGTGATGCTGTGGGATAAGCACTGGACTGCTAACCACAAGGCAGTTCAAACCTACTAGCTGCTCCTTGGAAACCCTATATTGGGTTGCAGTGAGTCAGAATGGACTCATTAACCAGGTATAGATTTAACTGGGGCCTTAAGGGTATTTGCAAGAATGCTAATCTGCCTCATACAGCTGTCATAACATATTGGGTTAATTTTCATGCACATGAAAATATATTAAGTGTTTCACCTTTTGCAGAAAGTGAAACAAAATATTTTAACCCTAGTGAACTGGTAGTATTTGGAAAATAGGATTTCTCTGACTTGAACCTTCCGTTACCTCCATAGGTGATTATGGGAGCGCTATTGAGACTTTGGTAACTGCAATTTCCTTAATTAAACAATCCAAAGTATCTGCGGATGATCGTTGCAAAGTCCTTATTAGCTCTTTGCAAGATTGCCTTCATGGAATTGAGTCCAAGTCTTATGGTTCTGGATCAAGGTAAAACTTTTCTTTCTTTTATGTATTTTAAACTGCTACTTTATAAATGGAAATTTGTTGTTTGTAGAACTTTAAAATAACACTTTAGTTTTCACTCTTTTTATTTTTTGAAAACTTTCTAAGGCTTTCCTTTGCTCTTAGAATAAAATTGCAAACTTGGAGGCACTGTGTAATGTTGTTCCTGCCTATCATTTCCATTTCATCTTGTACTATTCCTCTTGCTCATTGTATTCCAACTGTACTAGTCTCCTTTCTTTTCCTCTGACACATCAAGTACTTGAACGCCTCACTGATTTGCATGTGGTATTCCTTCTACTTGGAACCCTTTTCCTTACCTTCTAATCCTTCATGCCTCAATGGAATCTCAACTTCATAGGAAGGACTTTGTCCCAGGTTAGTCTTCATGTTGTTCAGTGCCATTGAGTTGGTTCCGATTCATAACAACCCTGTATAGTGTTTCCTAGGGGCAGTTGGTGAGTTTGTACCGCCAACCTTGTGCTGTTTATTTCATTCATAGTATGTACTGTAATCTGTTCTTAGTCATTATTTCATGCACATTTCTTTTTACTACAACACAGATTGAGTGAAGGAGGTCCAAAGTAACTTGGTCAAGGAACTTAACACCTAAACTCTGTTTGCTAAATCTAGCTTGCTGGTGCGGAAATACAAGGCACAGACATTCTTATATAAACTAATAGAAACTTGTTATTTCTTAATCTGTGAGTCAGAGTCCTGGTGTGCCACCTTAAGATAAGCACTCAACTTCAATGTTGCTTTGAACTGCAAAGTCGGAAGTTCAAACTCAAACCATCTGTTCTTTGTAAACCCTGTATACAGGGTCACTGTGAGTCAGAACTGACTCAATGGCACTTTACAACAGCAACAATCTATGATTCAGAAACAACTCGAAGACACTTTACATCGATCTTTTGACTTAACAGAAGTATTCAGGTGTCTGACCTCTATATCATACTGTTTTATCAGTTCTGAGACTGGTGAATTTGACTGAATTAATGGAAAGTATAGCATACAATTTTGAAGTCTTTTAGGCAAATGCTTTATTTAAATTGCCTATTAAATTAAAAACAGTTCTCTGTTTTTACCCAACATTAGAACTGTTCTAATGAACAGTTCTCCATATTAATTACAGTACAAATACGACAGTCCTTTTTAGTTGGTATGTAGTTTACTAATAGTATTTCAGTGAAGTTGTATACCTTAACAAACCATATCATGAATAGTTTGAAATGTTATAAAATTGATACATATAGGGAGTCTTCATAAAGTTTGTGGGAAAATGCTATTCTTTTAATTTTTCCACATGTCTTAGGCTGCTAAGGGAAGTAGAGATATGATGTATTGCCATGGTGTGTCTCATTCTGAATATTCTGTTAATTTTAAAAATGAAAAATTCAGTTTGATTATTGGTTGTAAAATTTGAATTTTTACTGAGTTGGGTTTTCTTGAACATCAAATTATTGAATAACCTTTTAAGCTAATTATGGAGAGCATTAATCCAGTAATTTCTTTTAGAAGACGTGAACGATCAAGAGAAAGGGACCATAGTAGATCAAGAGAAAAGAGTCGGCGTCATAAATCCCGTAGCAGAGATCGTCATGATGATTATTACAGAGAGAGAAGCAGAGAACGTGAGAGACACCGTGATCGTGACCGAGACCGGGACCGAGAGCGGGACCGAGAGCGCGAGTATCGTCATCGTTAGAGAAGGTGGGTATTCCTTGGTCCTGTTGTGTTTAGTATATGTATTATTAATAGTAATTATAACTCCAAGGCTATTGTTTATACAGTATATACCTACATTTTAAGTGGTCCAACTACTTGTTCTGAATTTAATCTTCTGGAAACTTCTGAGAAAAATAACAGGTAAGTAATGACAGGTAAAGATTTTGAGCTTTTGTCCTTCATTATTGTATTGTTGAGCTAACACCTTTAGATTTCAGATTGTTAATAGTCTTAAAAGCAAAAACTAATCAAGAGGACTCATTGTGTACTTCTAAAATCCAAAATTTGGGATTATCTTAATTATAGTTTACATGTAATTTAAAATACAGGGAGTTAATATATAAACATTATGCCATTTGATTTTTAAGAATTTAAAGTTTCTATTCTTGAACTAACCTCATTTGTCCCTGAAACTTGTAAAGAAAATCAAACAGTAATTTGCAGTATAGGAGGACGGTTTCTTACCTTGAAAAGTTTATCCTTATAAAAACTGTTTTACAAAAAACAACTGTTTTCCTGGCAATCTGGTTTTTGTTTTTAAAAACAAAAATAATATTGCTGACCATGCAAAAATTACTGGATTAAAATGGGCTCAGGCTAGTCATCTAAAAATTTTAAATGGTATCAAACTATACATCCCAAGATAGAATAACTTTGAAATAATTTTCTTTGCTGTTTCATTCATAAACCATAATCATTTAATCATTGTGTCTTTTTTTCTGTATTTTAAAATGATTTCTTGTGTACATTTTTCATAAAGTGGGGAAGAGTTGTCTGTTGAAACTTCATTTTCACATGTAATTTCATTTTTATATTTGAATGGCATTCATATGAAAAGTGGTAAGGGGGTGGTATACTCACAAGGCTTGTGCATGTGACACAAAAGTTATTCTGTAAACAAATAGTTTTTCTTTATATGTTTGTGTCCTATCCAAATTAAGTTGAGCTAAAATCCTTTAAAGGAAACTATTTGCTACAAGATTGTTTTCACTAATCATGAGAAACTTCTTGAAAATTTAGTCATGGTAATTGTTAATTTTTAAATTATCATGGGCAAAATCAAAGGCTTTATCAAGTGTATGTAATTTTGTGAAAGAATAGCAATTTCTTTAACCAAAGCATTAATTTTAGCTGATGAAATCCTTTGAATAAATCTACTTAAAAAATAAGAATGTAAGTTTGTTATGTTTCTGGAGCACAAATAAACGATTACACTGTTTACAATTTGAAGGACTTTTTGATGTAAATAGGCCATTCTTAACACTTTACTTGCATTTAGAATATGCATCTTGAATATTTTTCAACTTTTAGTTTCTAAATCATTATCTGTTTGTATTGCAAAATATTAGTAATTCTCAAGTCATTCCTTTAATATGAAATAAAACATCTTTCACTTTTAAAACTAAGCTTATTAAAATTGATACTGTTTTGAATATAAGAAATGTTGTATCATATAAATATGAACACTAACATTTTAAAAAGACACTCTGCCCACCCTACCCCCTTACCCTTTATTGAATAGAGTTGATTCCGTCATGAAAAAATTTTTTCAGTGTCCACCAACTGATTAAGGTGAATTGTGCCCAGGTTACAACTCAAATAACTATATTAGTCATTTCATTTGTAGAAATATTCTACCAAAAAATGTGTTTTTATTTAGGCAAGATTCTAGTTACTGAAGCATGAGAATAAAACATGAATACCTTTTTAGTCATTTACAAATTGGATGAGCCTCTGAACTAGTTTATCCCTAAAGTTACTAACTGCCCATTTTCTTACTGGTTTTGGTAAAACTAACAGCCAAGCAAATTTCTTCTGAAACGTCCATTGTTACTTTGAATACTTGAATTAACTAACATTATAGTCCAGTAATGATTACATTTTGATTACATCATGAATTGAGTTGCATTACATTCAGACATTATTTATGAATCCTAACTTGCAAACTGTTGTTGATGTTTTTTTCTGAATCACTGATGTACCATACTAAATTCCCGTTTTGTTGTGTACATTAATCAGAATTGAGTTGTAATATTGTTATATGCCTTCATCCAAACAAAATTTTATATAATAAGCATTTCCAGTGCAAAACAGTCTGTTATCCGGGAATATTGTACCTTTGCTGCTATACTAAACAATATGAATTGTGGATAGAGGTGTGAGTGGGTGGGGACTGGCATCAAATAAACAAAACTGCCTGCAAATTTTATTGCAACATCAGGTCTGTTGTTGACCTCTTTAGAAGTTTTAAAATATGAGTCCTTTTGAGCTTTCTTGTAAATCTTACTACATGGACTAAGTGGAATGATAGTAGCTTGAAAGCGTAAATGAATGTCAGTTTTAAATCTGTATATAAATAAAACAAGACTGTAACCTTATTTTTAAAATGATGATAATGACCAAAAGGGCAAGTTTTTAATTTAACTTGAAACTCAATGATGTTGGCAAACTGTTAATGTCTGTCCCATTTTAATTTTTTTTTGTGTGTTTGAATTGTTGGTAAATTGCATTCTCTCACTTTAAAAAAATGTATTTTTCTAAAAACATTCAATATCTAAGTTCAAATAATCATATTTTCATGGGAAAATCAATATTGTAAATTTCAGTTTGTAAATAAATACTTTTGTACTTCATATTCTGTAATATTTTCCTCTATTCTCAGACCACTCTGAGCAAAATAAAAGTAGTTCAGTACTTTATTATATTGAGCACTTTTTATAGGAAATATTTTACTCAAAGTTAAGCTATTTTATTTCAGCTTGTTCTTCTTTTGATACTTGTTTGGAAAAACCGTACTCAACAAATTTTAGTTAACAGTTCAGGTTTTGGTTTGTGTACTGGAATGTAATGAAAGCAAATTTTTTTTTTTTTAATATTCTTTGTTCATTCCGTTCTTCATCTTGATTTCTGAGGTTTTGCATATTCTAAGGAATTAGCCATTTCTTTAGTAAGTTTTGTTTAGGGATGGATTGAATAGTTCTCCACTTTGCTATGTTATTACTTTCTTCAGTTGTACATGATCATGTGTTGTCGTTGTTAAGTGCCGTGAAGTTCTGACTCATAATAGTCCTGTATAGGGTTTTCCAAGGAGCGGCTGGTAGGTTTGAACTGCCAACCTTGTGGTTCAAACCAACCTTGCAGTCCAGTGCTTTACCTACAGCACCACACAGTGACATAAATGTTGTTAAATACACAAAACTTAAGATGTGTTGTTATTTCTGCAGCTGAGCTACTGCTCATGTAGCCATTTATTAATTGTGGGGGTGGGTGAGGAAACAGAATGCCCAAAGAAGCATTTCAGTTGTTATTTCTTTTACATATGTATGTATATTTCATATCTTTAAGATTTAGTGTTACTTTGTTTATGTGAAAATTAAATTCTCAATTACCTAATGAATGATGTTTTTTTTCATAAGATTAAAAATTATTTCTGTAATTCTTAGGTCATCTGAGACCTGTCTAATATTTCCTAGCTCTTGTGTGTTTTTATATATATCAATAACTGTTTTACTTCATCTGGATATGCTAGCATTTCATTATTAGTTCTAGTTTTCCTTTTTAGTCGTATTTGCAAAACCTGCTTAGATACACAGCTTTGTAGGAAGTGATACCTTGAGTGGATGTATAGTATTTTGCTCACTGTGGTTTAAGAATATAATTCTGTTTACAAATGGTTGTTGTTTCCTGTTTAAAAAAAAATTCAATGCCAGTGTGATCACCTTGATCTTTCACCTTCATCTCACTGTAAAATCTACCATTGTTTTGGTTTGTAAATTAAGTTGTTTTGAATAAATGTTTTGAATATTTAGTTAACAGTGATTAAATCTAATAACCATAAAGGGGTTAAGAGGCACCTTATATGCTATCCCACTTACTGATAAACACCCTTTTTGTGGTAGCATGTTTTAAATCTTGCAATGAATTCTAAATACCAAACTGCCTATTTTGAAATAATCATTTTGTTAATCTTTTGGGGGCAAAGTTCTTTTTTTTTTTTTTTTTGAATTTTTTTTACTGTGCTAGAGTTCTTATCTATTAATTAGTGCTTTGTCTAGAGCAACAGTCATGTGCACATTTTAGTGTAATAAAATGCTTTCATTTAAATGAGGTAAGTACTATGTCCAGAAGCAAAAAGATGGACGATATGAAATGTTTTTAGTAGTAAGGGACTTTTGTAAACATCTACAATAAATAAAATCGTTAGTGAAATATGCTCTAGTCAGTACAACAAGAAAATAAGGTAACTTGTATTTAGAGCCTTGGATTTCTTTTGCTCACGGCACTGTCATTCTTCTCATTAAGGAGAAATCTTCAGATAGGAAAAAAAAATTATTTTATTAATTAAAGCACACCTGGTGTGGTGCTATAGGATAAGCACTGAACTACTAATCAAAAGGTCACCTGGTCAAACCTACCAGCCATTCCTTGAAAACGCTATATAGGGTCACTATGAGTCAGAACTGACTCGACAGCACTTGACATTAGAATTTTTGAATCCTGTGTATTAATGTGGAAAACTATAAATTTTATCAACTATATATCTGAATCTTTTACTTGAAAAGTTGAGATTAACCGAGAACTTAGAAATACTGATGCTTACACATTTGCTTCAATAAATTTCTAATACAAGAAATAATCATTTTGAATTGTTATATTGGCTTGGTCTTGTATTAGCTCAAAATGGAGATCTATTTCTGTGTATTGAAATTTTAGTCCTCACTTCAGATTACAGACTTCATTAAGAGCTATAGATTCCATTTATTGTCTTAGTTGTTTGAACAACTGTTTATATAGATCTTACTTCAATTGTATGACTGGCGGCACAGATTTGACCGAATGATATTTTTTAAATGTGGGCATTGAATGTATGTTACTCTAAAACTTCTTTCTGATGTCTTTGTTTATGTAGATGACTACTTAGGTTTTTGAGACTTTAAATGGAATTTTTGAGTGTTGCTTTCAAATTTTGCTTCTATTTGA